GGGGGGGGCCAGGCGGGAGGCTGGGGTTGGAACTAGGCGGGGGCTGGGGGTGGGACCAGGTGGGAGACTGGGGTTGGAACTAGGCGGGGGCTGGGGGTGGGACCAGGTGGGAGACTGGGGTTGGAACCAGGTGGGGGGCTGGGGGTGGGACCAGGTGAGGGGCTGGGGTGGGGCCAGGTGGGAGACTGGGGTTGGAACCAGGTGGGGGGATGGGGGTGGGCCCAGGTGGGGGGCTGGTGGTGGGGCCAGGTGAGGGGCCAGCAGTAGGCCGGGGCCCCAGTCTTCAGCACAGGCAGGAGAAGCTGGGGGAGATCCCGTTCTCCAGGAGGGGCCAAGCTGAAGCCCACTTGGTCTGCCCTGTAGGTTCCTCTATGGGAAGAAAGTGCAGGGAACTGCCTTTGTCATCTTCGGGGTCCAGGACAGCGAGCAGAGGATTTCCCTGCCTGAATCCCTCAGGCGCATTCCGGTACCATCTACAGAGGCTGCTAGGTCCCTCCCCCGAGTCCCCACCTCCTCTGAGTCCCCTCCCCTCTCTAAGCTCTCTTCTTCCCTCCCAGATTGAGGATGGCTCAGGGGATGCCTTGCTGGAACGGCAGGTACTGCTGGATGGGGTGCAGAACGCCCGAGCCGAGGACCTGGTGGGGAAGTCTTTGTACGTGTCCGTCACTGTCATCCTGCACTCAGGTGAGGCCTGGTCTGAAGGCCAAACTAAGGACCACCAAATGGGCCAGTCTGAGAGGGGAGGCCCGGTTGGAAGAGAAAGCCTAGTTTAAGGAGGGAGGCTCAGAGTGAAAGTGGGGTCCAGTCTGAAAGGGGAGGCCGAACATGAAGGCTGTGTCCAGTCTGATGAGGGAGGCAGGGGCAGAATAAAGATTGGTCCAGTCTGACGGGGGAGGCAGGGCCAGTATAAAGGTGGGGTCTGAGCTGATGGGGAGGCCCGGTATGAAGTCTGTGTCCAGTCTGATGAGAAAGACAGGGCCAGTATAAAGGTGGGTCCAGTCTGATAGAAGAGGCAGGGCCAGCATAAAGTTGGGGCCCAATCTGATGAGGAGCACAGGATCAGTATGAAAGTGGACTCCACTCTAAGGGAAGAGGCTTAGTCTGAAGGTGGGGTCCAGTCTGAGGGAGGAGGCCTAGTTCTGAGGGGTGGCCCAGGAGCCTACACTCACAGCTGGTCCTCTCAGGCAGTGACATGGTGCAGGCAGAACGCAGTGGGATCCCCATCGTGACCTCCCCCTACCAGATCCACTTCACCAAGACACCCAAGTACTTCAAACCAGGAATGCCCTTTGACCTCATGGTGAGACCCAGGGCAGGAAGGGGTCCCACTCCTCCCTTCTGGTACACCAACCACACCCCTGAGCCTGCCTGAATCTCCCCTGCCTGCACCCCACATCATAGGTGTTCGTGACAAACCCCGATGGCTCTCCAGCCTACCGAATCCCCGTGGCAGTCCAGGGAGAGGAAAACGTGCAGTCTCTAACCCAGGCAGACGGTGTGGCGAAACTCAGCATCAACACACACCCCAGCCAGAAGCCCCTCAGCATCACGGTGCGTCTGGGCTCAGCCTCAGAACCCCACCACTGGGAAGACAGCGTGGGGGTCCTGGCGTTTGCACAGTGGGGTCCTGGCATTTGCACAGGGGGGTCCTGGCATTTGCATAGAGACATTCTCATCTGCATAGAGGGGCACACAGTTGGAGGAAACAGGGCTCTCCCGCTTACACGCCCTGCGCCTTCCGCTGACACGGAGAGACACCCCATCCGTGCACAGTCTTTCCACTCCCACTGTGGGAGGAGCCTGAATCTCACAGGAGGGCTGTGCAGTGTCGGGGACAGGCCCCTTGTTGTGAGGTGGTCTCCTTTCTCCTGGCTTCTGTGGACGTGGCCCTGTTGCCCCTCACTGGGAGGGAGGCAAGTCTCAAGGCAGCTGCAGAGGTCGCCGATGGCTGCAGCTCCCGGGCTGGGCACCCCGCTTACCCCTTGCTGTGCTCAGAATGCGTATGAATTTCCAGTGGCTGCCATGACAGATGGCCACAGCCTAGTGATCTAAAGCCACACACACTCATGGGTCTACAGTCAGAGGTCAGCAGTCCTGGCTCCGGGACGAAGTTCGTTCCCTTGCTTTTTCCAGCGTCTAGAGGCCACCCTAGAGGCCTGGCTCATGGCCCTTTGTCCGTCTTTAAAGTCAGCATAGTGTCTTCCGGTGTCTCTCTCTCTTTCTCTCCTTTCCCTTCCTCTCCCTTTCTCTCCCCAGTCTTCTTCTTTCTCACTCTCTCTTCTCTCCTTCCTTTCTCCTCCTCATCCTCTTCCTCCTCTTTATCGCCCTCCTCCTCCTCTTCTCCTCCCTCTCCCTCGCTCTCTCCCTCTTTGTCTCTCTGTCCTTCCCTCTCTCCCCTGCCCCCCCTTAGTAAAGACCCTTATGATGACATTAGCTCCACAGGATCCAGCATAATGATTCCACCTCCAGGTCCCTAACTTCCTCTTACCTGCAAAGTGTCCTTTTCACCAAGAAAGGCCACCAGTTCCCAGGTCTCGGGGATTCAGGTGTGGGCATCCTTGGGAGGGACCAGCACGCCTCCCTGTCTCCCCACCCAGGTGCGCACCCAGAAGCAGGGGCTCTCGGAGGCAGAGCAGGCCACCAGGACCATGCAGGCGGAGCCCTACAAAACCATGGGCAATTCCAACAACTACCTGCACCTGTCAGTGTCACGCACGGAGCTCAGGCCGGGGGAGACCCTCAACGTCAACTTCCTCCTGCGGATTGACCGCGCCCAGGAGGCCAAGATCCGCTACTACACCTACCTGGTCCGTGGCCACCTGGAAACCTCTGCCCCTGCCCCCCTCCTCCTCCTCCTCCTCCTTCTTCTCCTCCTCCTCGCTTCTTCTGAAGCCCCAGGACCCCTTTCCCCATCCCAGACCCCTCCCCGCACACCCTCCCGAGCCTGAGGCCAGCCTGTCCCCCCAGATCATGAACAAGGGCAAGCTATTGAAGGTGGGGCGCCAGGCGAGAGAGCCCGGCCAGGACCTGGTGGTGCTGCCGCTGTCCATCACCACCGACTTCATCCCGTCCTTCCGCCTGGTGGCCTACTACACACTGATCGGCGCCAGCGGCCAGAGGGAGGTGGTGGCTGACTCCGTGTGGGTGGACATCAAGGACTCCTGCGTGGGCTCGGTAAGCGCCCGGGTCTGCTCCCTCCCTCTCCCCGCTCTTTCTCCTTTTCTCTCTCCTCTTCTCACCCTTTTTCTCCCTCTGTCTCTCTTTTTATCTCTTTCCCTCTCTCTCTTCCTCCTTCTCCCTCCTTTTTCTCTCTTTCTCTTTCCCTCTCTCCCTCTCTCTCTCCCTCCTTCCTTTCCTCTTTTTTCTCTCTCCCTTTGTCTCTCCTCCTCTCTCTTTCCCTCTTTCTCTC